ACATGTATTAGTGTAGTCACATATGTTTTCTTTGATTTTGAAAGTCTATTATCCGAATTGTGCTTTCTCGTGTTGCTCTTAATAAATGGTTTGTTCACAAGCTAGACGTCATGAATTTTTTTCTTAAACGTGCATCTAACCAAAACTCTCTCCGTGGAACAACCTTTGGGCTTCATTGGTCCATGTTTCCATCATCATCATATCAAAAAGTCTTTTGTCTTAAACAAGTCTCATGAGATTGGTTTCAACGTCTTAGTGACTTTCTCGCTCATATTGGGTTTGTGACTTTATGTGCAGTCAGTCTGACACGTCTCTCTTTGTTTTACAAATATGTTTGTTCACCTTATATTTCTTCATCTATGTTGACTATATTATCCTCATCGACACTCATATGGATACTATTAGCAAATTCATATCACGGCTCATACAATGAATGTGTTATTAAAGATCTGGATCAAATAAACTAATTTATTGGCCTTGAAGTTTCTTGCAATGATGATGGGTTATTTTTAAGTCAAGCCAAGTATACTCATGATGTTTTTATATGGGTCGATGAGCTTGACTCCAAACTAATGGACGCTCCTCTTGCCACCATTGATCTCCTTTCTAGTGATGGTACGCCTTTATTCAGACCCTACTCTATATCGATCTTCTACTTTTTTTTTTACTAGAACATTTCAATTTCTCTCAACCCCACATCTAGATTTACCTTACGGCGTGAATCAAGTTAGCCAATTCTTTCATGCTCCCACCTAGAACACTTTCAATCCATACATAGGACTATTCATTATGTCAAACAGACAATTATGTTTGGTCTCTCGTTTCTATACTTTCTGACTCCTCTTTGTGGCTATTCAGATACGGACTAGGCTCGTTGCCATGAAACTCGAAGGACCACTTATGTGTACTCTATCTTTCTTGGTGGCGATCTTATTTCCTTGAGTACCAAGCAACCAACAGTGACTTGCTACAATAGTTAATTTGAGTATCGTGTAATCACAAACATGATTGTTGAAATAGGATGCCTTATGCGTCGCTCATCTTCTTAGAGAGCTACATGTAGCGGCCATGAAAGTAATTGTGTTGTGTTTATCATTTCCTAATATTGTGTACATCCTTGTATTATATATGGTTATTAATACGACTCCCACAATTTGTAATGAATTTGTCAAACCCTACGATAGGTAACGAATCAAAAACGTATCAATGATAAAATAGATAGGTTATGAACATTTTTTGTTTACTTTTAGAATTTTAGTTTTATATAAAAGTATTAGTAAGATAGAATGAGAGTAGACTTGTATATGAGATTAAAAAAAAAATGAACACACGGAACGTTAATTTTGGAAAATAAGAATTTTGAAAAAATTGTTGCTCGGATGCGCATATATTCCGAAATAATCGGGATAGCTGTAGTGACCCAACATTAAACAAAAGCGCAGTTTTCTTTCATTGCAAGATTGCACCAGCGGGGAATCGAACACGGGTCTATATCGTGGCAGGGTACTATTCTACCACTAGACCACTGGTGCTTTGTGTTTTGTATTTGGCTTTGTATATTATATTTATGGTAAGAAAATAAGAACTAACAAAAACACGCCGTATTTTGGACTTGGATAAAGTCACTTAATATTAGTATATGATTATTTAGGCGTAAATACATTACAATTTTTTGAAAACGGGGACTTTAAGACTTCCCATTCATAAACAAACCCAACATAATTATTCATTAAAAAACTAATTTTTTTTTCTTCTATCTATACAACTCAACTAAATCCAAATTTTCACTTCCATTAAAAACCCAACCAAAATCATTTTTTTATTTAATAAATAAAATTTATAATTCTTTTTTAGCTATTGATATAAAAAACGTTTAATTAGATAAATATGCACATAATTATTTAAAATATGAGTACCAAAAATTATGTGAACAAATAACAAGTTTATATTTATGATTTTTTTAATTTTATTAAAAACTGTCAAAAATATTAAAAGGAATTATTTGTGCTGACCTTAAATTGATATTTCAAAATAGATTAATAAGAGAAAATCAAAATTAAATACGCAAATATGTCAATATTATATTTAATTTGTAACAAAAAACAAGTTATAAAATTTAGTATTTTTTTAATATTTTCTAAACTTAGATAATTTAAGATTTTATACATCATAAATTCTTTCAAAAGAAAATCAATTATCCTTTTGTAAAGCCACGTTATCCTTTTGTAAAGCCACTTGCAGTTAATAACAAATTAAAAAGAACGACCGGCGTTGTGTGCACCAAACCCGTCAGTGGGTTTTTAAGGACTTCTCTCTTTTTTTTAATATTTTTTAACCAACCAAAAACACAAATATATTTGCCATTGAGACTAGTCTAATAAAAAAAAAGCAACTTAAGTTATTTACGTATCCATAGTTTTAAATATTAATCACTAAATTTTATTATTTTGATTTTTGAAATCAGAAGAAATACTTTGCTACCCAAATACCTAAAAAGTACAAAGACATTCAATATATGTATCCATTTGGCCAGTATTTAAATTCAAATACATGTTCTATACTTGTATTAGTGAGTAGTAGAATGAACCATTTAATTCCTTGAGCACAAAGTCCAAACTGGATAGCATTTTACCATAAAGTTTAGAATAATTCTATCAAACCGGTCAAAAGTATTATATGAATCAAATTCATATGCATACAATATATAAAATATATAATCAGATTTAATCATTAAAGTTAAATCATTTATAAAATTATCCATACTAAGAAGTAAAAACTATTAGCTAACTCACCAGGACTATTTTACAGATGATTTACAAACTTAATAATAAAAACTAAAAAGGGGTTCAAGTTTCAAAACCAAAACCGGCAGTTAAGGCAGCTGACATAAGCACAAAAAACCAACCCACTAGAAAACATATTCAACAAAAGTCTCCTTTTTCAACTTCTCGACCTTTTTTAACCCTCTCTTATCTCTCTACATTATATCACAACAAACCAAAAAACAAAAAACCAAAAAGGTCTATGTTCCATAGATAACCCGAACTCAAAACTAGGAAAAAAGGTTCGATTTCCTTCCTAAGATCAGTTATATTAGCAGCATATATCTAAAACTTATCCCGCTTTCCTTCTTTTTTTTTTATACATGTTCTCTAGGAAGATAAAGGAGGAAACTCGTCTTCGTTCTTGAGATGGAATGAATTCTCTCCAATCCTAAAAGTAGAAAAAATAATGTAAAAATTATCAGCCCACTATCCAAGAATATTGTAAAAAAAAAAAAAAAAAAAAAAAATTTAAATTACCTTCCCTGTTTTGTTGTATTCGCATCCAGTTTTTTTGGGGTTTGTGGAGTCTCTGGGAGAGACCGAAAAGATCCAAACTCAAGTTTCCTTGGTTGGTTTACAAAACCACCGTTGACCTGGTCAACACGACCTTGTCTTGGAGACCGTATTTGATTATTATTAGGTTCCACCACCAATTTGGTTTCACGACCACTAGCACGTGGCACGTGACCATTGGACGGTGTTGGCCCACGGCTCCTTCCTCCTCCTCTGCCCCCCCTTGTAGGTGACCGTTTCTCCTTGGATGATGAATTACTGCTATTCTGCAATACAAGAAATAGCAATGTCAATGTACTTTCATTAATTTGTTTATTACTATCATTATAAGTGAAACAAACTACATTCCCTAAAAAAAAAAAAAAAAAAACATACAATAACAGGGATGTAGAGCCCGGTCCCACGTAACGCAGTATTCGGCGGGTAACTGAGATAAGTCGGGGTCGGGTGTCCCATCACTACACCATTTGTGTTTGGCTGGAAGGGCATTACGGAGCATGGTGGGTCCCACGGGTGGTTCTTTTTTTCATAAGGTGAAGTAGGAGGACTGGGACTGGGAGTGGCCCGAACCATAGCTGTAGACAAGGCATAACCATGGCAGCCTTGACCATATAACAGATTCCTTATATGTGCATCATAGTCCCCTGTAAGATCCGAAAACGGGTTCAATAATTCCGTTTCCCCAATCGACAAATTATCCGACCCGTTTTTATCGAAACATAAGCAAAGGGTATCTCCGTCCACGATCTGGGACTCGCTTCTTTCCATCCATAGCTCAAGATCCGACACCTTGTTTTCAGCTAAGTTGGGAATGGGATAATCCTTGTCATCAAAATCGCCATTTGAGAATCTTGAATACATGTCATCCTCGTAATATACGGCTTCACTCAGGGACGATATGGACAAATTGCCAAACCCTTTGACACCACCCTATGTAAAGGCGGGCCCGTATTTCGGTTTGTGCCTTTGCAATGTGTTTGTAAAAAACTTCTTGATTTCATCTCCGATATTCATATTGCTGCTTGATTCGAGAATCCGACCCAGCTTTTTAGCCCCAAATCTAAATGCACTCCGTATCCGATAATAATTTCCTACAATGTGTGAAACGATTTTAAGATATATATTTTTTAAACTAAATAAATAAACTTGAAGAAAGAAGTGTTTGTTTTTACCTCTGTGGACACTACGTCCAAGATTGTTGTTTTCTTTCAAGGGATCAATAATGTTGAGATGCTTTAGGGTAAAAGCTCGTTGATCTGTCTCAAGCCCCTTAGAAGGCACTATGAACATGTCCATACAATTCTTCCTGAATTCCCCAGTTAGCAAAACATCTGTTCCTTGGTTTTCTGGGGTTTCAGCTGCTGACAGAGAGAGAGAATCACCAACATATATAGGTGGGAAAACGGGTGGGTCGCGAGGGAGGTTAATCGGTCAAAACGGGTTGGCTTGACCCACCAACACTTTTTGTCCATTTTTTGAACTTCATACATGATTAGTATGTTCAAGAGATAAATGCAACAAATAGAACTGTTCTTTCACATATCAGTTTACTTTCATTTCTTTCTATTACAGCATTGTACTATTTGAATGACATTGCTATATTTTTTTCAAAGTACAACACTGTAAGAGAAAGATACTATAATAAACACATAAATGAAGGCACCTTGCTTGAAATTTCTTGTATTTAACTCTATATTTAATATGATTACAAAACAGTGACCTGTTTTTCACATAAATGGATTGAAATTTGAGCCCTTTACATATTTCTTACCAGAAAAGTCAGGCATGGAAGATTTGGAAACCGGACCATCCAAACTAATGCAATATTCATCCCAGTCAAACTTGCTATAATAATCCAAAAATCTGTAGAGAACCTAAAAGGAGAAAAAATAGATGATTAGTGGACTTGAACTATGATTTAGTCTGTAAAGTGCAAGAGATTTTATTATTACCTCTGTGGGGCTATTTAAAGATGCATTGAAGACATGGAATATGTATAGGACTAAAGTTTCCAATGCATAAGTAGAAATTAACCCATGATGAGCCCCAAGTATACGGCTTTCATAGTAACACCATGCTTTTATCAAAATAATACTGCGTTTAAAAAGATGATCTTTGCCAACAAGGCGATCAACCTGCATCAAGATTCAAGAAAGTTTCAAGTTATAAGTAATCAAGAATGATGATGTTAAAAATTTGACATAAAGCATAATAAGATGATACCTGTTCAAGAAAACACAATGTACAAAGTCCACCCAACTGATTAAATGATATATCTATGACAATGTCTTGAACAAGGCATTTCACGAGCTTCACCTGCCAATAAAAAATCGGTTTTTTAGTCATTTTCACATAAAAGAATGTGATAGAGCTATGGGGATTCGATTACCTCAGCATCGATGAATTGGGTATCCTTCAGTATAAACTCAGTGTTTCCATTCTGCTCTTCTTCTTGAAGAACACGAAGAACTTCACGAGGCAAATTTTCATCCAAGTTAGGAGTACTAAGGACTGTTAGATCAATGTCTCCATCAGGAAGATAAGTCTTGAGTGGCACTGAACCATATGGGAATACCTACAACAAGTGCACCACCAAAAGTTAGATCAAAAAGACATGATCCATAAAAGAAGGATGTGTAATGTACCAAAAAGTTAAAATATGTTAATGAAACAATAAAAACGGATGAGAAAACAATAAAAATAGAATAGAAAAAGATACATGAACCATTCCTTGAAATAATCCAAGTAAAGCCAATTTCTTGGATATTGTATTCATTCAAGTAGGATACAAAAAACAACAGAGACGTGTGATGTAGCAAAAGGTTCAAATTAAACAGTGAAACAAGAAACAGGGAAAGAAAACATATAATACAAGAGATATATGTTCACTGTTCCTTGAATTAATTCAAGATTAGATGAGTACAAAGTTTTTTTCTTTTCACTCAATTTTCATTTCAGGAGAAGAATATGCAACGATAGCATCAAGCTATAAGCAAAAGTCCTATATTGCTTTCTGAGATTCTTGGGCATGTTATTAAGATCAATCAACTTCTTTTTTAACTGTCGATTCCATAACTTGTCAGTAAAATCTAAGAATGCAACTTGAAAGAAACATTTGTCTTCTAAGACTAAATACCAAAGTCACGAACAAGATAATGAACAACACGCATCAAGAAAAGCTAAAAATCCAAGTGGACTCAAACTGAGGATATCAATTGTTCAAGACTTCAATCCAGTCGCTTAAACATCAATTATATAGCTACATAACAGATTCGCGATTGAACATATAACACTTGCAATAAGGGGGTGTTTCGATGTTAGCTTCAGAAGCAACTCGAAGAATATAATCAAAATGATTAAAGAAATAGTATGCGCAATCAGATCAAAGTTCATGATAAACGGTATAACCCAGAACACGGATGACGGACAAGATTTACGCATGCAAAATGAAGCATAAAAACAAGAAATTATGGAGTAACTGAGTCTAATTAACCTCTAATCGGAGATTGCATCTGATGAGCTTCTGCACGTATTCAATCACGTCTTTCCTCTTCTCATCAGAATCCAAAGTCGGGTGGATGCAATTCAACACTTCTCGAACCGGGTCTTCAGCTAAAACCCAAGTCTCCGCCCGAATCGAATTCGGATCCGGATTAGACAATGGTGCGGCAAACGAGGGCGAAAACGGGCGATCCTCTTCCATAGCAAGATCGCCCATTCAAAAAGAACCAAGAGAAAAATGAAAAAAGATATAGGTGTATCGTATATTTATGGTAACGCAAAAACCCTTGGAAATATCAGTCAAATTCCCCAAAATTCGCACAGAAAAGGGGGTTTTGAATGTGATAGCAAAACCATGATTGTAGAATCGGAAGCAAAATTGAGGGGAAAACTAGGCAAAATTGGAAAAAGGTTTGAAGGGTTTATGGAGAAAGAATACACACGGAATTCTCTATGTTGTGTATACGCTTATCTATAGAGCCCAAATCCAGAAGGCTCACCTCTCGATCTTTTCTTCTTCGTCGGTTACTCTGACATGGATATAGAGATATACAGAAAGTGTACGCATAGGTTAAATATATTGTCTCTTTATGTATGTTATGTATCGATCTCTGAACCGAGCACGATACGCGACGCCCTGGAAGCGAAGGGATAATTTTTGAGCAATTAGCAAAGAGCATGTGTTCTTTACAAATTATAATTTATAATCTATTGGAGAATTTTGCGAAATGCAAACCCTACAGTATTAGTTACATTACTGTTTCTGTCTCTTCCTCTGTTTTTTTTACAATAATCATCCTAAAAAATGATGATAGAGTTGCAACATAATTTGGGGTTGATGGCGACAAATAGCATCATAATATGTCAAGATTTTCAATTATTGCAAAATACATTATTACTAAATATAACAATATATTATTTATTGTTTATGTTTATAAGTACAAGAGTAGATTACTCAAAATTGTTCATTAATTTGGTCAAAATTAAGTATTTGACTTTTACAAACAAAAAAATATCATTGACTTTTATATTTTTTCAGTAATTGTTATTATTTGTTTATTATTTATTAATTAAAAAAATAAATTAAGTGATTTATATAGATATATGAGACTCACTCTCACTCCGACCGCCACCACCACCCCTACTAAAAGAATTGATAACTACCGGTAGTCATAACCATCCACCGATAACCACAACCAGAAACCTAAAAATCATCAAATCAACCACCATACGCCACTTGAGAAACCTCACTGTCACCACCACCTCTACCATCAAACCACCTCTACAACCATCTGGAAAAATCCCCATAAAAACCTAAAATTGATCGCCAAGGCGCCAAGCAAAAGTGGTTAAGGTCAGCGATAAACAAGCATATATAAATAAGGTTTAGGTTACAAGGTAGGAAAACGAAGAGAGTGGGGAGGTAATAGATGAGAAAGAAAAAATAAAAGAGAGGGAACGATTACAGGTGCAGCAGTGGGAGGTGTGGGAGGTGATTCAGGGCGGCAGTCCGATGAACAACCAATTGTGGATCATGTTTGATGTTGTATGCCACTTTTTTGTGGTGCATGAGCTTCAAAGTGTAGGTAGGTGGTGTGCGATGCTCTACGATGAGGATCCAGTGGTTTCTGGAGGCGAATGGCAGCAGCGGGCGGTAGTCTGACGATGATGGTCCATAATGGTTTAGGTTCATTTCAAATCAGATGGGATATATATATATATATATATATATATATATATATATATATATATATATATATATATATATATATACACTAGCCGTTTACCCGCGCCAAGCGACGGGTGAATATTTTTTTTCATAAATTAATATCTAGAGGCGATTAGTTCGACGAGTAGTGATTAGTTTCAATTCAACCATTAGTTTGTTTTAAGAGAAAATTACAAATTTAGCCTAATACACTAAATAATTTGGGGAAAATAGCCAAAAAAAACCCAAAATTACAATTTTAGCCCCTAAAATCGCAGATGGAATAAAGTTATCTACGATTTTGCAAGTCCATCTGCGAATGTACAAGTGCCTAAAGCACATATGTGCTTTAGGCAATTGTACATTCGCAGATGGAATGGTCCATCTGCGATTTCGTGGGTTTTGTATAAAAACGTTTTTTTTTCTTCATTTTTCACTTTCTAAGTTGAAGAAACTCTCTCTCTCTCATTTCCTTTGACGATTTCTTCAACAATATGGACAATTTCTTCAACAATCCCGCCAATATGGTAAGATCTTAACTCATTTTATGTTTTAATCAACATTTATCTAGTGTATGTTTTTTTATTTATGATTTATTCTATTACTTTTTGTAAAAAAAAATGAAACTATATTGTGTGTTATTTAGTAATTATGTTGTATTTGATAGATAGAATATTGTTTATTAGTAGTCTTAAAGTTTTGATGTTATTTGGTTAGTGGTTGTATGAATGTACAAGTATAAATTGCGTAAAATGTGCATTGGGTTGTTGTACATTTAGTAAAATGCCTACAATATGTTGTTGTCTTTTACTTGCCGTTTGTTTATTTGTCGTTTATGTTGAAAAATGGTTACAATATGTTTTTGGTTAATGTTTGTATGAATGTACAAGTATAGACTGCGTAAAATGTGCATTTAGTTGTTGTACATTAAGTAAAATGGATACAATATGTTCTTGTTTTTTACTTGTCGTTTGTTTACTTGTCGTTTATGTTGAAAAATGGTTACAATATGTTTTTGTTTTTCAGCAAGAATATTGAAATTATTGTTTGAATGTTGTTTAATGATTGTTTATGTTTGTAATTTGAATGTTGTATTATTTATTTATTCCATTTAATATCCCGATATTTTAAATGAAATAGTTGTTAAGTTTTCTAATTTTTTGTTGTTTTTTCAGCATGATTATAAAATTTTTAATGTTAAAGCTATTGTCAACTTAAAAGGATCGGGGTGATACATTTGGGAAGTATTGGAGGTGCTACATGGTGCATGATGCGATAGTTTTAGACAAATTGTGTTTGGTAACTTGTTAGACGCCCCTCATTTACAAGGGGACGGATTGTTGTTCTATAAAATGTTTCTTCATCAGATACGGCCGGATGTCGTTTAATCCCCAGTTAGCATAAAACGGTTATATTTTAGAGTGGGGGTATGAAAATGGTTTATAGCCCGGAAGAGTTTTGTATCCTAAAGAAATTGATAAAAAAAAAGATTATTAAAAAAATATGTAAGGGGTCAAAGTGTAACTTTAAAATATAATAGGGGATCAAATCGTAATGTATAAAATACCAATAATTTAACTTTAAAATTATGAGGGGTGAAAACTGTTAAATAAAAATTAATTGAGGGAAAAAATTATAAATATGAAAATCTTCTATGACCGGAACCTAAATGGTTATTTCTAGAAAACTATCGTTTTATATTTAATAATGCATGCTTGACAATATATAACATGATTTGGTTTTAATAAACTTGGATTTGGAAATAGAAAAAAGAAATATAAATCGTGGCAACATCATAGAAAAAGAAAAGGACACGACAGCACAATCGACGGATAAAAATAGAAGTTGAGATGAATAGTGATACGCCTCACAAACCGATTTTGGTAATTAATATATATATATAATATAAGTTATAAAACTTTTGAGTGTTAAATCATAATTAAGAAAACTTTTGAGTTGCATTAGTTAAAAAATGGGGTTTCAAATGAATGTGGTTTGAGGAAGTTAAAAAAGAGGGTTTCAAATGCATGAGATTCAAGAAAAAATGTCAGCTTTATAAGTATGTATGATTATACCTTTTATGTGAATTATTTGAAACATAATTATTTATACTTTCAATATTGTTTTAGTTGCACATGACACCAAAGCAAAAGCGAAGACCAAAGAAGAAGGTTGATGCCAAGTCAACAACCCCCGTTCCTCCTCCAGCATTTGCTTTTGTTCATGACTTCTCGGTTTTGCGCCTACAACCTTATGTAGCAGGCGGTGAGGTTGTGTTACAAAAATTATTTTTTTCATGCATATAAACTGGAGCACCGTTTCTACAATTTGGATTTAAATAGAGAGTTTTAGAGTGCGTTGTTTGGGCATACACACAACGGATGGTTGGATGAAGCGGTAACTATATTTTATTTTTTTATTCTAATTGTTTTTTATTTATTAATTAATAACAAAAGTATCATAACTTTCGCAGCATATGACGATTTGGATTAGATTGTTGATGGAGAGACGATTTGATAGTGATCGGTATACAATAATGTCTCCTAATTTTTATGTTTGCCATTACTTGGAGGATGGTTTGGATTGGAGGGCGTTTATGTCTGGTATTGCTACATACCCCGACTTCATGGTTCCTTGGTGGAATGTGGATACGATAAACTGCTATTTAATTTTAGAAATTAATTTAATTATTGTCGTTTTATTTTTGTATCGTGTTATGTAAAAATAATAATTATTTTAAACTTTTTGTAGGTCCTAATGTCGATCCATTCATTTCCTAATCACTGGTTATTTGGGGAACTACGATTGGATTCAATGGAAGTGCATATTTATGATAGTCTCGGTAGGAGTACTTACCAAAAATTCGAGTCTGATGGAACCTTTAGCAAATTTGTTGCTCGGGTGACAGATCATTTAGACAAGATAAACTACTGGGCACACAGGAACATCTCAAGGATTCCATTGGATATGAAATTCATTTTTGAAACAAATGTTCCCCAACAAAGTAGTGAGGTGGGAGATTGCGGTGTTTTCGTTTGTATGTTTATGGAACAAATAGTTTCAGGCCAACCAATACGTGAACTTATTGACCCAAAAACTGCAGCTTTAGAGTTTCGTCTTAGGATGGCAAAATTTATTGGGGATCGTGTGATGGTCCTATGTAGTTGGATTATATATATATATATATATATATATATATATATATATATATATATATATATATATATATATATATATAATATTGAATGTTGGATTTGATTATCAAGCATTAAATAATAATTATTTCACACATAATGTAGTGTGATACAATTAAAATGTATATGAACAATTATTTATAGCAGCCCCATATAGTAACTGAAACAATGTTGTCAAGTCAAACAGTTTTCTTTTCCCATTGTATTGTGGTGTCATTCGATGTTATGACTTGTCAAATCGAACAGTCATCTCTTGTGTTCTCAGTTAGTACACTACGTTCTTCAGTAAAGTTGGACTATGAATTGCAGACAACTTATAAAATTTGACTGTGATTATGTGTATAGACTACTATAAATTTACTTTAAGTTAAAAAAACATTTTACTAAACGATATTTTAGTTATTCAAATATTATTTTTGAAAAATTACTCTCTTTGTTTCACTAAAAATGACTTCAATACCATGGAGCAATGAGGATTACTTGGTTCTTACTCATGCATATATTCATGTGTACGAGACCAACAAGTTGAACGATCCAATGTTTTAGACTCGTTTAACCAATATCTTCAACGCTGAAAATAGAATGACTACAACAACTCATCGTTATGAACTAGATATCTTAGCGAAATGGTATGAAATGAAAACTGAAGTTCTATTATTCAACGATCTTTATACCAAAATTGACAACGCTCGGTTAAATGCTACTGAGGAGGTCATCTTGGAAGCTGCTAAGGAGGAATACAAATTATTAAGTGACGGG